AATAGTTTTATACACAGTTCAGAGCAAAAAAAAAAAAATTATTGTTTCTTTTTATTTGTGGAGCTGCGATGGCAACGGCAAACGGCGACTGCGCAACGGCGTCGACTGAGCGGTAATAACGCCAGCAGCGACCACAATTTCCCCTCGAAGTGGCTGGCCTGCTCAAACGGCGGCTCGTAATGGGTAATTCCCTCTTTCACGCTCTCGACTGCGACTGGGACATTTCGAGCATAAATTCCCCTCGCAGTGGCGCAAGTGCCAACGGCAGCTCAAAGGGGAAATTCCCTCTATCTGCCTCTCGACTGGGACATTTCGAGCGTGCTCGAAGTGAGTCCCAAAAGTGTTGCCTACTTTCGGGTGCTGCGATTTAAGACGAGGCACTTTTCGATTTTCTTTATTTAAACTATAATTATTTCGATGGAAATTTTGGTGAATACCTTCCATGATGTCCAGATCAGTATTTTTTGAAGCCAGAAATTCTTTCCATTCTAGTGTCCAAGAAAATTACCTAAAAAAATCCAGGAGGGAATTTTACTCTCTCAAACATACATACATACATATGCATCTCTCGCGCTCTCTTTTGATCCAAGCTCCCACAAAGGGAATTTTGCTCTCTCGAACATGTTTCACGCGCTCTCTTGCAAGCCAAGTTTCGAAGCTGGAGCTTCGGGGTTCCAGCTTGAGTCAAACTTAGGCAAAAACGACAAAAAAAAAAAGAAACCAGAAATCTCCCAGCACAGCACTGCTTGCCCAGACAGACGCTTCATACAAAATGGCGGCCGTTAAGATCAGCATAGAAAACGAAGAAACAGCGATACTCGCTGTACTCCGCACGTAAATGAGAAAAAAGGCACAAAAGCGAACGAAAAAACACGTTTACAGACTTAACGAGTTTTGCTCCATGTTGTCGCTGTTCCAAACTCAGCGTGCAACAGCAGCCAAAAAGGTAGAAAATCAAGAGAAACGCGAAAACAACAACAAAATATTGTTATTGAGGTTGCCAATGTAGGAGGAGGGGTGGGGGTGGGGGGCGACAGGTAGAGCGGGGGCAGATCATGATGTTTTTTTTTTTCATCTCTCGTTGGGTTCTTCTGCTGCCACAATGCTCGTGATGGGGGCCCACTGGAGACCTGGAGGCTGAAGGTGCTGCTGCTTCGTTTTCATTTTATGCTTCTCCATCTCCATCTCCATCCCCATTCCCATTCCCATCTTCTTCTGCTTTATCTTCTTATTGGGATTTTATAGTTGTTGTTGTTGTTGTTTTTTTCATGGGCCATTAGCTGCATTGGCGCGGCTTTTGTTTTGGGGGCCAGTTTCTCCTCTGGATGCCCCTGTCCCCCATGCCTTCCCTTTCGAAAATCATTGTTTATGTGGCACTCGCGGCGGTCAGGAGAATTTCGCGCCAAAAGCCACAGAAGCCAAGCCAAGCCAAGCCAAGCCAAGCCAAGAAGAGCTGGAGTTGGGCCTGGAGATGGGGGGATGGGGAGCCGATCTGGGGAGCTTATCATTAAACAAAAGAGTAGCACGCACTGGCAAAAAAATCCGCTTAGGGTGTGCTTCTCCCCCAGCACCCCTTTTCCCCTGAACCGCCCCACGAGCCGCCTTCAAGGTGAGAAATGCTTTGTTTTAAGATCTTAGAATATTAAGGATTTAATAAGTTTGTTGTTGTAGCAGTTACATTCCACTAGCAGTTTTGATTAGCTAATTCAATTAGCAGCTGCTGCACTTGTCGCTGGATAGTGTGCCCCCTGCATCCCCCCCCGCCCCTCCCCCAGAGGGGCTTGAGCTCATAATTTGCAATTTTCCATGCTTCATGCTGCTGCAACGACCACAACAGCTCATTATGGGCGCAGTGGGGGCGTGGCCCTGCCCAGTTAGAGGAAGGTCGCCCAAAGCATTGCCCAACAGCCAAAAATCCGCAATGATCTGCATAGATCGGTTGGCCAATCCGCCAATTCCGAAGCCGAGCAGGCGGAGGCCAAGCGGCGGTTTGGGGGGGCCAACAAAAGATAATTGATTCTACCCTCGACTTGGGGACCTTCTAAACAAAAGCCCCCTTGATCCCCCTTTAGACCAATCCCAACGAATCGTCTTTCTACGAGCACTCACTGACTAATCCCCACTTTCTGCAAATGGAAACATCTGCTTTTGCAGGACTTACCGATCCACTGAAATACTTGGCAGCTGAAACTGAAAACTAAAAAACTGGCGACTGACGTCCGAGGACTGAGGACTCGAACAAGAAACCCCGAAAAGGGGCAGCTGGCTTTCAGTCGAAACTTTCAAAAGTGATACTCGTACGAGCCTTGGGCAGGAGAATGGGGAACTTGGCTTAGAACTTGGCTGTCAGCCAATTTATGTGCACAAATTAACAAGCCCAAAGAGAGAGAGAGAGAGAGAGAGAGAGAGAGAGAGACGTGTAGAGAAAGGGTAGAGACAGAGAGAGTCGGAGTTAAAAGAAAAAACGGCAGCAGAAAGGCAATCAAAAGGCTGCCACATAAATTTATGAGCTGCGTCAGGCCAAATCCCCGCTGCGGCCAAGAAGTTCGCGATAAAGCTCCCAAGGGGCAGCCGCGGAGAGGCAGGAACAGGCGCGTGCTGTTCCATAAAAGGGGTACGAGGCAAGCAGCAGCAGCAGCAGCAGCAGCAGCAGGGATCATTGCGCGCGCTCATAAAACATGAAACCAGGAAAAGGAGCCAACTCCAAGAAACTGGTTTTCTGTTTTCTGTTTTCTGTTTGTTGTTTGCTGTTCGGCTTGCCCCCTGCCCCCCTGTGTGCAACTGGCAGTGGCCCCTGCCCCTGCCTCTGCTCTGCTCCCTGCTCCACAGATCCTGCTGCAGCTCCTTGGCTAAATTTAGCACGAGCCTGGCACTCAGCTGGCTGAAAGGGCCAACGACTCAGCCAGGTCCGAAAGAGTCTTTTGGACTTTGTACGCTGGTCTTTTCCTCTCTTTTTCCCCGTTTCCCTGTCTGATGTGGCTACCCTTTCCAGAGGGTGCTATGATTATGTAACTCTAAGAGAAGTCCTTCTTCTGCAGATACCTATGGGATATTCCTTCAAAAGTTGACTTCGTAAGGATATGTATATCCAGTTTCGGTTTCTGAGTATTCGGTTAATCCATTCCTGTTTGTAGCTGTTTACGCGCCATTTTCCAGCCTGCAACAGACCCAGCATGGAGGCTATCTATATGGACACTGGCCTCTGAGGGTTGCCCCAGCCATGGACCAAATGGTGTAAGGGTTTCCCTTGAAAGGCATTCCTTTTCAACATAGTTTTCCCCTTTTTACGTGGCTTTTCTATGGCATTTGCCAAGTTCTTTCGGAAGTCTGGGAGCAACCCTCTCCGGCTCAACTGGGCCCCGAAGTAGTTTGGGCCTTGTTTGGCCAGTTGCCAGTTGGCAGTTGGCAGTCCGTCGCCTTATTGGCAAGACGCGACTCGATTTGGCTGGGATCGTATTGGGATTTGTTTGTTTGTTTGGGCTCCATCAGTGGGGCTGTTCTTAGCTTGTTTGCTTTCGCCTGTTGGTTTGTTTGTTTGTCTATTCGGTCTGGTTTTGGCGCGTGTGCAACTGTACCAAGATCGTGCCACATCGGCCGCATGCTCCCGCGCACACGAGCATAGTACTGCACTCATGTTGCAGCAGCAGCATCGGTGGCAGCGGCAGCAGCAGCATCGGTGGCAGCGGCAATTAATAATAGCAACAGGCTCTCATTCTCTGCCTTTCTCCTTCCGTCCTGGCCTCTCTCTTTCGCTCTCTCTGTCTCCCCGTCTCCTTTCCACTGGAGCGTTGGGGTCTGGCCTCTGTTGTCGCATAAATTGCTGTTGTCATTACCCGCAACGGCAGCAACAGCAACTGCAACTGCCACATCAAGGAGTCAATGGCAAATTTATGTTTGACTCGTGCCCAGGCCTGCGACTTAAAGAAAAACATAACTCGAGTGAGAGATAAGTTAACTGGATAACTGGCTGGCTCTCCTGTTTGTGCAGCAGTCATCGTCATCGACATCGTCCCCGGCACTCATCATCATCGTAAACAATGATGCAGACTGATTGCCCAGCTGCCCCTCCCTTCCCCCGTTTGCAGGGGGAACGTTTCCCAAAACGAGGCCAGGAGGGACGATCAAATCACCAGGCGACGGGGAGATGCGTAGAGTCTGAGGGAGTTCTTTGGTAGTCATCCCTTTGTACTCTCGGAATGTCTCGGGATAATTGCTAATCCGATTTCAGACTAATGCGATAATGCTCGAGTGCACGATAAAAGGATGGCTTATGGCTTTCTAAGGGTCTTAGCCCTGACACAAATGAAGGATAAGTCCATCTGGGACTTAAAAAAGATGTCGCTGGGTTCCTTAAATAATTAAAAACTTTCCTTTTGTCAAAAAGAAAAGACTCCAAAATAATCCCCATAAAGAATGAACGCATGAATCCAGTCTGTGTCTGATGAACATTGAATCTTCCCTTGGAGGAGCTACACTGGCAGAAAAAGGGCATTTTACAAGAAAAAAAAACACTTAAATTTAAAATAAATATCCGCGTTTTAAATGTCTTTAAAACACTTAAAAATACATATATTAAATGAATTTTGAGTTTCATTAAAATATATTTATTTTAACAATTAATTTTAATGTTCAAATTAATAAAAATTTATAGCCATTCTCGGGGACTTTAATCCTCTTCGATTTGTAGTTTTTGTGGCTTAATAAATAATATTTTTTTGTAGCTAAGCCCAAAGAATGAACTTTTAGAAGGAAATGAGGAAAATATCTTGGGCCGCAAATAATTTTTTTATATAAAAGAAAACTCTTGCCTTTCTTTGTCGCCTTTTTCCGAAAGAATTTTGCAGTATAAATTTATTTAGGAATTTTGCAAGCATTTTTGAGAAACAGAAACAACAACAAAAGTTAGTCATAAATTAGAGAAGCGTTCTGTTGGCTTTCTCCAGGCCCGCTCCAGACGGCTTTCCCCGGCACCCCGGAAGCCCCGGAAGCCCCGGTACCCCGACAGCCCCTGCAGCCCCACTAATTACTTCGGTAATCAAAGCTCAATGCGAGTCAATTAGATGATTGTCCCACAAGCAGGGGATCCGTGCGATCGGGCGAACGCAATGAGGATCTCCTGGATGCGTCCGAACGACCACAGCGGAGCCACATTGGGGGAGGGGCGGGAGCTGGGGAGCTGCTTTTGGGTGCAGCTGGTGGACCGGTTTGGCGCGTGCCCGATGCGATCCGATCCAATCCGATGTCCCCCCTCCCTCCATCCATCTCTCGCTCTCGTTCTCGCTCTTCAGGCCTGCTTCATACCTCTCTCTCTTTTGCTCTCCTTGCCTTCTTTTTTGCACAAACGAATTAATTAAAGATGATGACGGAGATGCAGAGGGCCATTAGCATTAACGGACACAGCTGGGACTCCAGAGAGAGCGAGAGAGAGGGGGGGTGTGGGGTGTGGGGGAGAGAAGAAATGACAGCGCGTGGCATGATCAGTGGCAGCTGCCACAGACGAGTAACCGCTCTAGAAGTACTCCTTGCCAAGTCGAGTGCGTTCGTCCGGCCTCTGCCTGCGATTGGACACCCCATCGGACTCGTCCATCATCGACTCGAGCATGCGCTCCTGCCGGGGATTGAGGGCGGCCAGATGGATGTCCCTGGTGGCCCGAAACTTGCCGCAGTTGTACAGATGCTCGTTCTCCAATCGAAGGTAGTTCCAGATGAACCGCCTGCTGGATGGATGGGCATGGCAGGGAGCATACAAGGGAGTCGCAGGGCCGCCACACTCACCGCGTGATCTCGAGGAGACTGCCGAGGGTCTTGGTGTTGTAGGGCGTCATCAGTTCGTGGTGGTTGAGCGTAAACTCGATCACCCAGAACCAGCGCAGCAGCAGGTTCTCGACGATCACAAAGTAGTAGAAGGCCGGCGGATAGACGAGCTTCTCCCGCAGGAAGATGTGCTTGCCCTTCCAGATCCGGAACAGGCCAAAGTCCTTGATCACGTCCCACAGAAAGCAGTACAGGGTGGACACGATGGAGGCGGCCAGCAGGAGCCACGTGTACGGATTGACGAACGTGTTCGCGTACCGATCTGCGGGGAGGCAAGTGGGGGATCAGTGGGGCTGCGATCGTGGCTGGGTATGTGGCTCACACCATCCGTGCGAGCGCGCAGCGTCGAGAAGAGCACCACGAAGAAGGTCGTCGAGTACTTCCCGGAATTGAGGAGGTAGCTGATGGACTTGGAGCCGCTGTCCCGGAACCGGCGCAGGCACTGCGCGAACCGAAACCAGGCGGGCAGGCAGTAGATGACCGGCACCAGCACGTCCGTGCTCAGGTACGGGGGCACCGGCTGCCCCCGCAGCCAGGAGGAGGCGTAGAACCGCACTATGTAGTAGTGGTCCACGATGCAGGTCAACAGCGAGTTCAGCTGATCGCCCATCCAGAAGTCGGCGAAGCCCACGTAGTGCATCGGGGCCGACATCACGCGCCCCAGCAGCTTTATCGTCCACCAGCGCGCCGGCCAGTTCATGATCGGCAGCGGCACCACCAGCAGCAGCAGCATGATCAGGATCAGGGCCAGCGGGAAGACGAACGGATCGGCCACATGGAACTGGCCGTGATAGAGGAAGCCGAGCATCGAGAGGGTCCACAGGATGCCGAAGGTGCAGGCGATCTCCAGGAAGGTGGCCGGCTGCAGGTGGCTGCGCGGATCGATCTCGAAGATCAGCACATGGTTGACGCCGAACCGCTGCCAGCCGGTCACATTGGCCGCCATAAAGAAGTTGAAGATCACCCAGGTGAAGGGACCCCGGTAGAGGCTCATGAACGCCAGGATGTTGCTCTGCAACGGCGGTCGCCGCCAGTCTAGAAAGGATAGAAGGGATTCCAGTGATAGAGGGGACTCCCCTTCGATTCGAGACATCTCATAGGGCCACCTACAGCTGATCAGCGTCAACACGAAGAGCATCACGAACATGCCCAGGGCGAGGCCGGCCCGGAAGACCATCTGCGCCGGCGTGGGCTGGCCCAGGGGCGGCACTCGCAGCTTGTTCATCGCCTGCGATCGGTCCCCAGCCGCCAGATAGAACGTGTACAGGTCCTCCACCTCGATGACCATGCGCTGGAGGGAGCGCTGATCCGCGAAGGCCGCCTGCGGAATATAACGCTGGAACCAGTCCGCACCAGCAGAGGACTTCAGATACTTGTCGTACTTCTTGCAGATCTTGCGGAAGCCCGTCTCGTTGAGGGACTGAAAATTCTGGAGCAGCACGAGGCTGAGATAGAACTCGCTGTAGGCGTTCCGTAGCTGCCGCTGGGTCATCATCTTGCGGCTGCCCGAGGTGTTGACGGGCTCCGGTCGCACCTGCTCCGTCCGCTGGGAGCCCAGCGATGTGAGGCTGGCCGTGTGGCCCGGCACCCGGGCGGTGGCCAGCAGCTGCAGCTTGAGGGTGGCATGCTTGCGACGCGCCTCCGCCAGCTTCTCCATGAAGAAGTTGTTGACGCGCTCCAGCTCGTTCCGGCACTCGAAGAAGAAGGCCTCCTCGAAGGCCTGATAGTAGGCCGCGGTCGCGTACTCCTGCGACGAGTCCGAGGCGGGGGCACCATCCACGCCCTGCTTGATCATCGTCTTCAGGTCCTGCAGATTCGAGATTCGAGTTTCGGATGGGGACTGGCCAGCTAAACTGGACTGCAGCTGCTCACCGTGTATCGCATGTACTGCTGTCGCCATTCGATGGTCAGGTGCGTCTCAAAGGTTTTGCCAAACTTCATCTTGGGGGGCGTGTGCCCCACAAGCGGCGCAGGAGGCGTCCCAGCTCTATGCCAAGAGCTAGCTGAGACAGTTTCAAATCGTCGGTTGCTACAAATTCTGACATTCTTCTCCAAAGTAACTCAACGCCCAGCTTCAGCTCCAGCTCCGAACCTGGCTGGATGAGTGGACACTCATGGAGGAAGGCCCCTTGGAGGCCCAATTGTGAGTCACTTTCCCGGTCTCATTACGCGTTCACACGCTGTGCAAATTGTTTCAGCGACGCTCTTCCGACGGTGACTCAGAGAGCACTTTTCGCGAGGGCTTCCCGCTTGGGTGAAGCAAACCGAGGCGATAGCGATCGTGGCCGCTGATTAAAAACCAACAAAAATAAGAACAATACCAAAGTAAAAAAAAAATAAGGAAAAAAATCGGGCTCGTCCGGGAGTTGAACCCGGGACCTCTCGCACCCGAAGCGAGAATCATACCACTAGACCAACGAGCCTATATGTTGGCGGTCTACAAATATGAGAACAAGAACGAACTCTAGGGTAGAGCCGGCAAATTTAAACTCTGCCACAACGGCGAATATGTATCATGTTTCTGCGACCATTCATCCCGAGCATTGCTAAAAATAGTTGAGTAGTGAATATTCCCAATTGCAAATACATCGAAAACAGAACAGATAAAAGGCGAAGAAAGCCAAGAATTATGCACACTTTTGGGTCTTCCGAGGGGCACTCGACGGTGACGAGAATGACGATGACTTCGCTGAGTGATCAGCCACCTACGACAGAGTCCCGCTACCCAGAACTAGACATGCCACAGTATGTGGCAGCCGCAAAGAGAAGAAGTTCCAGCATTGTGGCGACCACTCGCGATCGCATTACGCAACGGGCGCCAGAGTTGCCAGATCGCCTGCAGGTCCACGGCCACAATCAATTTGTAAAAGCTTTTTCTCAGTTTAACCTGAAGCGTTTATAAATCTTTAAACGCTCGAATTGAGGTCGCAGGGTCGCGCCCCCTTGTGACGAGGAATCCGTAATTAATTAGGGGCCAGGGCGGGGCCTGGGGCTAGACAAATGCGTTTCGGCCGAACAAATCTGATCTGATGGCCTGGAGTGCAGTTATCCCCTTAGATGTCCCGCTGGAACCAGAGCCTCGCTCGAGATCAGGTCTTCTCCTTTCGCGCCAAGGGGGCACGTTTCGCAATCTATCAATTAGAGGGGAAGATCACTTCCTTCTGGCACTGTGTGGCGCCAAAACGGAAGCAGCACAGAGCCGTGTTGGGGCTGGACAACATCCGACTGGGGCTGGGGCCCCCCACCTATGGGGGACTTCCGTTTTGATTGAGGCAACTGCAAATTAGCAATTGGATATTGGCTCTTGGATCTCGTCACCATAATCACGGCTAGAACCCTGGCCGTCTCTTGTGCAACTTCCGTGCTCCACTTGTGGCACTTGTGGCACTTGTGGCACTCGTGGCACTTGCTGCACTTGTGGAAATTGGTGGAAATTATGGCATCGCTTAGATATATAATTAGAATGTCAGTGACTCGGCAATTGGCATGCGTAATTGGCTAATTGAATCCAATTGCCGCATCTATCGATCTCTGGCTGGATGGCCGTGGAGCCGTGGAGCCGTGGAGCAGAGCCCACATCCGATACGGGGCAAGCATCATTCATCTTCCATGGGAGAGCAGATCCCATCCTCATTAATCATCGGATTTCCCTCGAAAGCATCTTGCCCCGACTCACAATCCCTTCGCCCTCCCAGGGTGGTCCATGCGCTCCTATAATCTACGCTTAGCTCTTTCTGTGGGTGGCTGGCTAATGGCCCCACAAACACACAAAGAGACCACACATCAAAGTCTCCCCAGGCCACAGGCACACACACACACACCCAGCGGGAAATGCAGCCTCGGGGCAGGCAACAAGTGCACCACCGAATCTCCATCTAGAATGTGGAGCATTAGAGCCCAGCCCAGCCCAGCCCAGCCCAGCCCAGAAGCTGGCCACAGTTGATCGAAAGGGGAATTCATCTTCAAGGCGAAAAATAAAGCCAGCAGAAAACCTGCTCGGATAGAAATTGATATAGAAATGGAAATGGAAAATCGCCAAAGAGCCGCAAAAAGGGCACAGGAAATGGGCATTCTTTGGCCCCAGCAATAGCAATAACCATTACGATTACCACCGAAAAGAAACAAAAAACAGAAAACAAAACACAAAACACAAACAAACAAGTATAAAAGAGAATTTCTAATCTTGCCGACGTTTCTGTGGCTTTCACCTTTTCGAGGCTCGATCTTCCGAGGCCGAGTGTGATTTTTGGGTCTGGGTCCGAGTCTAAAATCTAAAGTCTGAGCTCAGGCCCAACCACGGAAATGTAAATGCCGTGTAAATACAAAGCGGCGAGCGGACTAATTGAAAATGCAACATGAATGGGGCAACGGAAGTGTAGCGCCCCTTCCAATCCAATCCAGTCCTAGCCAATCAAATTGGTTCGATTCGTATCGATTTTGGTTGCCCGGTGATTGATTGTGTCTCAATTAGGGGCAAATTGCTCGGCCCCGGCGGACACCACACTATCCCTAATGAGAGAAGATGCCAATTTTGTGGCTAATGAGGATCCATTGACATGCATTTGTATACATTTTAAAGTCAACAAAGGTGGGAGATTGAGTCTGGGTTTTAGGAGTGGAAAAATAATAGAAAACTAAGGCCTACAAATCTCCAGAAAAGCGGAATGGAGTTCTCCTTTGAACTCTTGAAGCCTTTTACATTTCAATAATACAAAATATACTTGAAAGCATCTTTTTATAGATTCTGGCACGCAGTAGCACTGTGGTCTTTGGCAATTGCTCAGGTAAAACAAAAAGCCCCCAAAAACGACAAAAATTTATTCAAATTCGGTAATTGTGTCCGGCAAAGTCTTGGTCATGATGTGTCTGTCTATCTGTCGCTCTGTGTGTGAAATTTTGGTCAGCATCATGGCCAACGGTTGTGTTGTTTCAGGGCCAAAAAAGCGAACTTTGTGGCGGTGGTGGGGGATGGGGGATGGGGGATACACCCGCATTTCGAATGCCCGGCCAAGCGTCTTCAATCTTGTTTCGGTAATTGTACAAACAGCAACGACAACAACGACAAAAACAACATCATGTTAGGCCATTCGAAAGTTGTTCGTGGTGGTTGTTGCTTGTTGCTTGTTGCTTGTTGCTTGTTGTTGGCTGTCCATGTTCAATGAACCTTTTAAACTGTTACCATTTCTTGTGGCTGTTGCTGGCTGCCTTGTGGCAAGTTCGAGTTCGTGCCTTGAGTCTTTTGTTCGTGTCGAACGCTCTTGGAAATTGAATTTTTGTCTCTCTGGAAACGGCAACGGTAGCCCAAATGGAGAGTGTTTTCCGGGCTGAACCTTTTTCAATTGATGTCTCAATTAGTCGCCAGTAGGGTCTCGTGGTCACTGTTCTGGGCTCTGATTGCAATCCCATTTGGAGCTACATACTTTGTTGATCTCATGAATATTTATCGAGTGTCTCCGAATGGGTTTTTGTGGCCAGCTCTGATTGCGACTTCCTTTGGGCCAGGGAATGGATGGGGACTGGAGAATCCAGCAGCGGATAAATGAATCAAAGGAGCTCTGCTATTAGAATGAATCACTTAGTGAAACGAAAGAAGCTCAAACACGTGTCAGAAAGCCACGATACGAAACGATCACTTTACTCGTATAGCGGCAAGGGCCGCGGCTCACAACGTTACCGCTCTTAAGGATTTTGGGTATAATTTAAACTCATTCTTGTTTTATTTACATATAGAAAATGTAACCAGCTCCTTATTTTATTATTATTCAGATTAGTATTAGTATTAGTATTAGTTTATCAACGAAAAGTCTAGCTTAATGCCGAACGCAGTACGACAGAATTTGGTAATTACAGAATATTTCTCATGGTATCTCTGTTCTTCATGTTCTTCACATGATTCTGGTGCGAATTCGAGGCCAACACTTTGTCCATCAAAGCACTTTCCAAGCCAGCGCCCTCCTCACAGAGAATACATGAATCTGAACACATTGCAGGTGGTAAAAAGGTCAAAATAAATTCTCATTGCCCTATAATTCGGCAATTATTTTGCAAAAACCAAGGTCTTCGCAGGGTAGTGGCGTTCAATTTCTACTCAGATTTCAGCGATAGTTTCGGCCTTTTAACAACAAAATATTGATGAGAAATTCCGATAAATAAATGTCTTTTCAAACAGGCTATAATTATGGGTAAATATTTATGTAGTTTTTTTTTTAATTTCATTTAAAAAATATACCCATAACCGAGATGGATCAAATTTTCCTCTTTGAGGAACTTGAATTAAGAATCAACTTTCTTATAGAAGGAATATAGGATAGGATAGGATGATCTTTAGCAAACCGATCACTCTCATCTTTACCCGGATTTAAAGAAAAACTAGACATAGATCAACCTATAATGATGGTAAAACAAGGAACAGTAACAAAAAAAAAAACAATATACGAGTATAGTATCGTATTCTTGACTTTCATTCTCACTTGACTCTCACGAGGGATCTCTTTTGCCAAAGCCAAGCCCCGACTCTCACAAAATAAAGTCGGATATGCATAGTACATACGCCTAAACTTAAACGATGTACGTACATACATGTGTACATACAGCCAGGCCCTGACCAGACAGAGAAACAGGGGGTGACAGTAGGAAGAAGGGCCGGGAAGGGCCCGTTCAAGACGCCCGAACTCCATGTCAGGGCAAGAGCTCTCAAAGGAGTCTACGATACACGTCTTGGTTATTTCACAGGCAACTCCGTCAGGCGGAACCGACTTGACTTGACTTGACTTGAAGCAACTTTTTGTTCTGCCAAGATGGCTTATTTTTTGGCAGCTGCTTTGACTGCAGGTGTATTACACAGATAAGTACATATGTATGTACGTGTGTGTGTGTGTATATGGTGGCTGTGTGTTTGGGGCCATCTTTGGCACGCACTTGGCTGGGCCAAAAGTCTGGGCCGAAGTCTGGGCCAAAAGTCTGCTTTTTTCTCACACTCTTAATGACAGTCAATCATCAT